CTGGCATGCAAAAGAGCAGTGCCGCCCTCTTGCCTGGCGCCGCACTGGGACTTAGCCACTGGTGCTCTGTTCCCAGTGCTTCCAGTTTCCACTACAGGGCTCTTGACTCTAGGATGCCTTAGGCTCTTTGCAATGGATGTATGGTTTGGCCTGGTTCCCCCCTTCAATGGCATTTGGCAGCACGGTTGGTTGGATATGTAAGTCGAGATGCCGTTAAAAAACGGCCAAACGGCCGGTTGTTAGACCCATCCACAACTCTTAGGATCCAAAATGGTTAGTTAGCAATGCTAACCCAGACTGCCAACAAGTTCGTCGATCAGCTCCAAGTCAGAATCTAGCAGAGTGTCCGGGTTGAACAGCTGGCTAGAACGCTAGTATTGACACAGAAACTCTCCATACACGTGCCTTCTGATTTAACGTTAGCCTGCCAAATTAAACATCAGTGAACCTTGACAAGCAGCAATGGAAGTTCAAAGCTGAAACTAACCGAAAAGGGGAACGGCACGGAATAGGGCTAAACTTTTAAACTCTTGTTGGTGGCTGCCAAGGAAAGCTATTTCACAGTGCAGATGCCATCCACATGGACGAGCAATCTTAGGTTCGCAACTATTGGGCAGAAGGCTACACAAACAAAACAAACACACACACACACAAGCAAAACCAAACCACACCACGCAATAACAACTCAAAGCAACAAGCAAAAAAACGAGGAAACAGCGAAACAAAGACACAAACAAACAAGCAACCAAACAAACAAACAACTAAAAAAACAAACAAACAAACAACCAAACAAACAAGCAAGCAAGCAAGCAAGCCAGCCAAGCCAAGCCAAGCCAAGCCAAGCCAAGCCAAGCCAAGCCAAGCCAAGCCAAGCCAAGCCAAGCCAAGCCAAGCCAAGCCAAGCCAAGGAAGCAAGCAACCACACAAACACACAAGCAACAAAAAAACGAAGAACCAAACAAACAAAGAAAGAACCACAGAAGGAATAGCCAAATACTTTAAGGACTGAAGGAAAGGCACAAGAAAAATAAAGTAGACAGACAGACAGAGACAGAGACAGAGACAGAGACAGAGACATAGAGAGAGAGAGAGAGAGAGACAGAGACAGAGACAGAGACAGAGACAGACAGAGACAGAGACACACAGACGAACAGACAGACAGACAGACAGACAGACAGACAGAAACAGACAGACAGACAGACAGACAGACAGACAGACAGACAGACAGACAGACAGAAACAGACAGACAGACAGACAGACAGACAGAAACAGACAGACAGACAGACAGACAGACAGACAGACAGACAGACAGACAGACAGACAGACAGACAGACAGACAGACAGACAAACTGACAGACAGACAGACAGACAGACAGACAGACAAGAAATAAAAAAAGAAAGACAGACAGAAAGAAAGAAGGAAAGAAAGACAGAAAGAAAGAAGGAAAGAAAGACAGAAAGAAAGACAGCAACACACAAACAAACACACAAAAACGCAAACGCACGTATGCACACGCATACACAGGGACTCAGCCGCACCAAAAGATACAAACCCGGGAAGCCGAACTTGAACAGCCGTTGCAAAGCGGTGCTGCCTAGCGCGTTTTGCTCTGCAGGGCAGGGCTGGGAAGGCATTAACCCTGGCAGTGTGCGAGGAGCATTTTTTGCAACTTGTGTGACTTGATCCGACACAGGGATGAGTGGATCCGACGAGCGCATATGCAAAGGAGCACAAGCTGCTTGAAAAACGAACGCATGCCGTCATTCAGCAGTTGGACTTAGACATTGCAATCCATGTGTCTTCATGTCAGAACCATTCCGCAACTTCTGCCGCGTGGCAGCCAAGCCTTTCGTTTCGCTTAGCCCATGTCGTCTATGGCCTGAGAAGGTACTCAATCACGTCGCGGCGCCCTAGCCTGCCAAAAACACCGGCTTGGCTCGGGCTTGGCTTCCGAAACCAAGGGTGCTTCAAAGACTCTGGCACAACCGGGGAGACATGGAGGTGTCTTTTTGAGGGTTCCCCTATTTTTTGAAGTCATTACAGGGAAACCAAATGGAAAGCCATCATTTTAGGGGGGACCCTAAAACAGACAAGCCCAAATTGGTGTTTGGTAGAGGGAAACCAAAGGGCTGCTGCCAGCACGTATGGCTTGGTCAACTAAGCTCTCAAGCTCTTTCCAGCCATCCACATTGGCCAAATATGGGTTTGGCGTGTTTGAGGGTACCCTTTTTACCGGTTTAGTAAAAAGGGAAAACTATTTGTTCGCTTGTCTTCTTTTCTTTTTCTTGGGGGGGTCGCGATTGTAAGTCACACCCATAAACTTTGACTCCTGTCAAGTTCCTTGTCGTCCCTCCAAAATGGACCACAAAGGAACGCACATGTTTGACCGATGCGAATCTTTAGGTCTTCTAGCTGATGAATATCCCAAGTTAAGGACCTACATCATGGGCTTTCGTTCGTTTTATGGATCAGGGGAATCGCTGCAAACCCAGAAAATGGGTTGCATTTCTATGGCCAAAGCGGACAGAACTGATGAACATAATCCTCCCATGTCATATTGTTTCACCCGGAGTGAATATTACAATCGACACCTGGAAGGAACAAGTGGTCCAACCCAAAACCCATGATGAGGAATCCAAGGGGCGGATATCCGCACCGAAAGATCTGGTTGCGACCGTCTTTCGGTCACACCAGCTGGAGTTCCCCGAGCACCCGACGCAGCCGCCCAGTGTAGAGGAGTCTCTCCATGCACCCATCGCCTCACGGGCGGAGTTCAATTCGCATTCGCCTCGGGGGTTGTGGCATTTTTGGGGTGGGTTTGGGATTTTAGGGTTTGGTTTTTTTCGGGTTTAGGGTGGGGTCAAAAAACGCGACAAGAACCCGGGTTCGGATTTTCTGAAAGGGTATCCCATCGAATTGAACGGCACCAAACCCCTCACGAAGTTTCTTTTGACAATCCCAAGAATGGGAGGGGGCCACGACCCTCTGGCCTCCCTTCGTACGTGAAGTATTGGATTTGTCTCTGGCCATGGTAACTCCCGGTGTTGGCTAGCATTGGAACAATGGGTGTGGTCTACGGAATACATGAGTTGAAATTGCCGTTGAGGCTGTGCAATGGGAATAAGTATGAGCAGCTAACGGTGGACCCCTGGAACGCAAAGCAAAGGACATGGATCAAACATAAGTGGGCCTTCTCTGCAACCTCTCTACAATCATCATAGCATCATGTCGTGTGCATATAAGGAACACTCATGTATTACATTGCGGGATTCGCTTGAGGGAATGTGAGGTGAACCGACCAGCTTCAGAAAGTACCACTGCCAAGTGGGCCCTCAATGGAAGCCAGTTGCCAGATGCAATGATTTAGATAGTCTTCACTGCATGCAGATGCATTCCTGCTGTACAGCTCATGGGAACTCGTAGATTTGATTGGGTGAGAGAATCTCGTTCATCCCTGGTCCCTAGGGCAAAGCACGCAGATCTGTCCCACTGTCTATGGCATGTGTCTGCAGGTGTCTGTTCTGCTTGAAATCAAGCTATTGTTGGTGCGCCGACATTTGAGCACTTTGCCGCTCACATAGACTTCACTATGGAGGTCGCCTCTGAAAGACCATCTGTGCCCTGGCCAAAACTCATACAGGGTGATGGTCATGGCTGCCTCAATTCGGAATCCTTATCGTGGTTGCCGAAATCCCTGAAGGGTTCATGACTATCTCTAGTAACCCCCAGCTCTGTTGACCATCACAGATCTGTGCATCCCTCGCTTTCCAAAGATGTTCCACGTGCCTGGATGCAAGCGACTCCTTGCTGCCCTCGACCAAGCCTGGACTATAGGCAGGGCTTGCCCCCCTGATGGCCATGTAACCCCCAAAACGCTATCATGCTTAAAGGCATATCTTTTTAAGACCCCCCCTTTTTAATTTTCCATGGTAATCAGAGGGGTATCATAGCTGGTCAAAGTGGCTTCATTGAAATAGAACGCCTGCTCAAGTCAAGGCCTCTGAACTTTGGACAGGCATCTTCTAGTAAGACAACTCAAACTGCTTGCTGACTATGCACATGGCGTCCATCAGGGGAGTGTCCAAGCCGAGACAGCGCGAACGGGATTTTCAAACTTCCAAGCGAAAAGTCCAACTGCATGCCTGTCACCCTGAAACCTCCCTTGCACAGTTTTCCTCGCACGTCGCGTGGTGCCTTCTTAGACGTCCTCAAGGCTTAAAGTTCACGCTGCCATGAAACTAAAACCCCGACGCCATCAAGTAGTGTACTCGACTGAGGTTGCCTGTTAAGAATAAGCCCTCATTGCACATCCTCCAAGACAAACTTGTGCTAAGATGGAAAGCAAAACCACTCTGCCACCATCTAGGTCGACTTGCCCCCAAACTGTTGCATCACCATTCTGCCGGCTCTCCAATGATCCCGTCAAAATGAGTGCAAGAAACGACACAACTCCCATTTTTGGAGGTACTCTTTGCTCAAGGATCCAGAAAAAAAAGGTTACAGGCACCTTTTGGACGCCCAGGCCCCAAGCCCCAGTTTTCGGGGTTGCTTTTTGGAGACATGGATCAAGGATGCCCAATTTCGGTTTCTATGTCACAGCAAGCTTTTCCCCAACAAAGCTCGCAGAAGCAACGCCGTGTGACGAGTGTCCATTTGGAGAACATGATGAAATCCACTGGAAGAAAGGATCAGAACCAACCTGACACCCGTGGAATCAGGGTCCATTGAATTTCCAGCAAACTCATCTTTTCAAAGGACGCCTGCCTGTGTGCAAAGCCCTTGGTGAGAAGGGGGCCCTATACCGCCCCTAGTTTCAACCAAACTGACCTAAAAACTAAAACAATTACAACCAAGCTGACTAGAACCAAACTAAAGTCGGTGGAACCCACCTAGTTGCAACCAAATTGACCTAACTATACCTAAAACAATTGCTGAAACCCTCTGACTACTTGAGACTGGCGGCCGAGCCTAGAGCCTCCGCCAAGCTTTGCAGCAGAGA